GATATGACATACAATGGAAATGCAGTTTGTATGAAGGAACATTCTGGACTCCATTCAAATAGTGGGCAAGAAAATTTCAAAGCTTTGAAAGTTTTTTCTTTTTTTTTTTTTAAGAATCAGGAGTTATCTAGTAGCCACTTTATTAATAGAATCTCTTATAATTTAGAATAAAACATTTTTCTACATTGGTATCACATAATAGAAGCCATCGTCCTACAATTCAGTAATTAAATCAGTTTTGGAGCCAATATGCAGCAGATATTATTTGGTAACTCTTTTGCATCATAAAGGAAGATAATTGTAAGAATGAGAAATAACTTTCGATATCATCTAATCTGGTGGTTTTGGGACTTTTTTGTTAGCACCAATATCTTTTTTGTCAGTGAATGCATAAATAATCTGCAAATATAGAACATATGCAGACAGAGCTGCTGTGGTTGGACCAGGGCTGAGGGCGGGCCCTAGGCCACTCCTCACCTTCTCCTACCCTGCATACACCCTGGGTCCCTAAACTCCATGTTATACCGTTTGAAAACCATTAGTCTAGAAATCCCTTTGTGGTACAATGGGAAACAAAATGCTGGTGTATTTTATTTAGGGGACTTGTGCAAGGGCACACAATTAGTAAACCGCAGACCCGTGATTAGAACTTCTACCTTCATTAATCCTTCAAGCAAAGCCACGTTGCTTTATGTTGATGTGATCCCTTTTGAAAAGGTCTGATATATTTCATCATTATTTCTAGTCTCTCTTGCATAGAACCCCACGTTTGTACTATCATTCTAATTATTAACTCTTATTTTTCTGGTCACATTTTCAAGTATACAATATAAGTGAAAAGGCCAGGAAAAATTTTCACTGCCAGATAGTTATAACATTTAGAAAGCAGAGCTTTAAACAGCTCTGTTGTCACCTGAAAAATAAAAACTAAAAGCTACACTTGTGAACTCTAACAGCCTTTCTTCCACAGCTGTGTCATAGACCAGCAGTTGTTACATGAATATACAGATCTTTAAAGAGATCCTGCTGACCTTTTGTCAAAAGAATGTGCTTTGAGCACTTTTCTAGTGGTGGTAAGAAGATTGCACGTTCATTGACTTGTTTTTTTTTTTTCACCACTGGTAGTGTATATTTGAATAGCTTAGTTCAGTTTGAGTAAGGGCAGGTGTAGGGTTGTTTTGATAAACATTTTCTTCTGTGTAGAGCTAACTAGCTTCATAAAAATCAAACTCAGAAACATATTGTAACTTGTCCCAAGTTCTTCCACACTAAAAGCTGAAAAAAAAAACTCGTTTCACACTGAAGAGAGTTCAGGCTCCAGGGTTTTTCAGGCTATAAAACTGCCCTGCTTATGAAAATGGCTGTTTGTCATCCTGACCTATTTTCCTAGAGGAGCTCACAGACTTTAATGAGCATGGGGAAGAAGTGTGGGTACTGGTGAGAGACACAGGATTTGAAAGAGAGGAGAGGCAGGTGATGAAACCAAAAAAAAATTAATGGCATTGTCTCCCCCAACACGAGCATTGTGCAGAGTTAATATTTTATAGAATGTTATTTTTCTGATAAAGACTCGTGGACTCTGTAGACTCAGAAATATTGAATGAAAGGTAGCAAAGTAATCTTCATTCTCCTTCTCTTTCCTGTTTATTACTCATCCTTTCCTAAAATGTTTGGCTTTAGATAAATTGACCAGACTTTGTATGTGGAGAGGGTGTGATGATAGCAGCAGAGGTTTCCAGACCTGAGTGCTCAAAATTAAGAGAACTAGAATTTGAAAGAAACCTTAATTTTTTTCATCAGATCATGAGCTTCAAGGCGCTCATCTCTCATGCAGTGTTTGAACTCTCCCCAAGAACAAGTGACTCCCCAGAGGGAGTCTTGCAGATGGGGTCTTTAGAGAACTTTGCTTACATGCGAACAAAAAAACATCCTTTGCTATTAAACCTGTCATTCTGCGAAATGTCTTCTTGCAGCTTTTTCATCCTCTATTTTGTGTGGAAGAAATCCTGTAGCGCAGGGTCTGAAGCTTGCTTAATTTTGATTCACCTGCTTTTCTGAAGTACTTGACAAAAGTGCCTCTACTGCTTAGACTTTCGAGATCCAAAGAAGTATAACTATATAGTTCATATTAGAGAAAAATTCTGTGATTTGGATCAAATAATGCTTCTGTAACATATTTCTAGTTTGGTTACCAAAGTCTGAATAATATATATCTTGATCATTTAAAGTTGACTTTTACATTTTCTAACTAGAAAATCCCCAAAGCTAAATCAACAGTATTAGTATTCTAGAAAATTCTAGAAAATAGTAATAGTATTCTAGAAAATTTGGTCTAATGGCAGTTTACTATATGATCCTTCAAGGACATAGTCTAAAGTGGTTTTTTTTCCTCTCAGGGTTTTTAATGCTTCTGTTGTGGTAGTAGGAACATTTGTGATTTACCAGATAAATCTAACACCACTCTTAATTGTTAAATATTTTTAGAAGCAATTTATTTGGAAAAAATGGTGACACCTAAAACTGTTTTCATAAATGTTACTCTGACAACTAAATCATATTTCCAAAATGTTACACAAAATTTAATTGCGAACCTCTTGAGCAAGTAATTTTGATTTTCCATTACTTAAAGAAAACTGGGACTGTGAGAAATGGGTGACATGTTTTTCTTAGGGCAAGAAAATGATTAGGGCAGCTCTTCTAGAATTAGATAAGACAATTTAGGATGTTAAAAGCTAGGATGTAACCTAACAATACATATCAGCATGACAAAAATTGAGACCCAGGAAGATTTGGACTAGATTAATTTCAGTAGATTATTTGTGGCATAGTATATTTGAAAAATTATGGTCTTTAAAATCAAACAAGTTTGGTGTTAGTTGTAAGCTTGAACAAGTTATTCAACTTCTCTAACATTAAGCTCATTTGTAAAACAGTTTTAAAGGCTTGAGGGGCATTTAATCTGAACCAGGCACCTCTCACATTACTATAGGTAGGTTGTATAAGTTAATTGCTTTATCCTAGTTCCCATTCCTAATGGCTTTTAAAAGAATGCCTTCTAGCAGAAGGAATGGGGCTATCGGTTGAACAATTAGATAAAAATATTGGTTCTAACAACCGTACTAGATAGAAGGTCCTACTATTGCTAGATGCTGTGGAAAATCCATAGAACTTTGCATGGTATCATTACACGTTTTGGACTATTACTCTACATATGTGCCCTCAAAAGAGAAAATCTATCACTTCACACTCTTTGGAAATCCATAACTCTGAATACTGCAAGCTGGTGAAGCAGCAGGTACCCTGTGATTTCAGACAGTTTCCCTGTAAATCTTGTCTTTTCTCTTTAAACAGGTGGTTCCATCAAGGTCCTAATCCCTACAATGGAGCACAGGACTGGCTTTACTCGGGCAGCTACTGGGACAGAAACTACTTTAATTTGCCTGACATTTATTAAAATGCAGACAAGTCAGGGCATTTGGCTAATTTACAAATAAGTCTTAAATCTATGTTTTTAAATTTTTTCCCTTGGTTTCTACTCATCTTTTAAAATAAGAAAAAAAAAAACCCCACTCATAACTTGCATTTCACCCAAGAAAAGTAGGGCATAAGGTGATATTGGTGATGAAAGTGTTATGGAAAATGGGTAATTTTGCTATCCAAACATACTTGGAATACTATTTTATATTGAGGTAAGCGAAACTGCTGGGTAACTGGAGAATATGCTTTTTATGGTTGCTGTTGCCATATTTACTAAAGGTTTATACCTAAATGTAACTTTAGCTTTATGAAATTATATAGTAATCCCAAATCAAGTTATTTTGAATATTTTATGCTGTCATGCTTGAATGTTTTAGGTGTAACTTTGAAATGTTTAGAATACTCCTATACAATGTTTATGTGCTCAAATGCAGAGAAGGTTATGTCATTTTGTAAAGACTACATTGGTAAGATGGCTGTTTTTCTAACTAATCCTCTCCATTTTACCCCTTCCCACCTCCAGAAAGAAAAAATGCCTGACTATTCAGAATAGGTATCCTGATTTGAAAATTCTAATGAATTAAACTGAAAAGGGCATTTCATTTGCTTATCTTAGTGCTCGGAATTTACTTTGACAATTCTGTAATCAATGTCATTAGAATTAAGGTGTTTAATTGTACGTTTGAATTGAAAATATGTATAAAAATCTAGCAATTCACAAAAAATGCCCTAGAAATATTTTAATCATCATCATCATTACATAATGACAAACCTTTTTAAATGCTTCAACTTCCAGTGGCAAATGCCACCAGAAAAATTAAGTTGCACTCATGTAAGTATCAAACTATATAACAGGAGGTCTTGTGCATTTTAAGTTTGCAAGGCACCTCTGTACTTAATGTATGAAGACCTACTGTACAGTAGTTTTGCCCCTTTAATTGGGGTACATTAAGCTTATATTTATCCACCCAACCCCAGACTGAGATATTACTTCAAGGGGCCTTAGGTAGCTGCCAGTAAATTATTTTAATTGCTGTCATGAAGTTAACAAGTGTTATAATGAAATAATCTACCTGATGCTAAATAAAGGCTTTAGAATGTTACAAAAAAGTGTGATTTCTTTTAAACTTTCAAGTGTACTAATGTCGCCACTTCGTACCATCCTAAATTATCAAGAATGACCTTATGAAGGAGTCCTTGTGGTGCTGCCATCCCCAGGTCCCAAGAGATAACCAGCTGCCTAGCACACACAGCGGTAAGTAGATAGCACTTAGTATAGTAAGATAGCACTTAGTATAGTATTATAGGGAAGTGCTACTCTTCATTTGGTGTGAATGCCAAATAACAGAATTATCAAGTGGTAATTCTTGGTTAGAAAAGCTAGAATGAGAGTGGTTATTTTTTTTACAGTGTGTACAAGAGTTGGAAAATGCTACTGTGTCATAAGTCTGAAAAGATTTAAGGCCTTTTTTGTCTGATTGGTTGCCTACCTCCTGAATTACAAAATAAGCAAGAATACAAGGTTTTGTGCTTGCATGAAGTTTATTGATATATTAGGCTTGGTGGCAGACTCCACCTTGAACGTTGACTCAAACAGCCTCATTTTCGGCATCTGTTAGGAATAATGTAGCGAATTGTTTAAATTTAATCATGAAACTGAACATGTGAAGTGAGATTAGAAATGCAAGGTCTCCCCTCCTGTCACTAAGCAATAATGAATCTAATCAGTTACTTGTGCATTTGCAGTAAGGTATCCTAGCATTTCATGCTGAAAACAGCCATTTTATCCGTTCTACTATAAGTCCAAAAAGGGAATAAGTAAATGCCCATCGCCTTAAGATATTTTGATGACTGAGAATTGTCACCATAAATATAGTCACTGTAGTACTTGAACCAATTCCCACCAGTTGTTCTAAGTAACCGAATTCCTTGGTGTGTAGGTATAACACTTGTATTATATACTCTCAGCTAGTCTCCCTACTTCCTCTAATGACCTCCTCCTGACGTTCCATCCTTTCCCACGTAGCAGCCAGAGGGATCTATCATTTTTCTGGTTTCTCATTGAACTTTCAATCCAAATCTTTCTCCTTGGTATGCAGAGACCCTGAATTATGGTCTTCTCTTCACGTCTCCAGTTTCCTCTTATGTACCCTCCCCTACCTCCCACTTGCAGTACCTCCAGCCCCCATGTTCTTTCCTGCCCTAGAACTCTAGGGCTCTTTGCATACTCTGGGCTTAATAAAGGCAGGCTGGTATCAGTACCATGTTTGTTTTCTTCATAATCCTTAACACATTGTAATTTTTTGTCCATCTCCTCCACTAAGGTATACAGTTCATGTTTTGCTCACTGTCCTGTAAACACGTGGGGGACAAGGGGCTAGCTAGCACAGTACCTGGCATCAAGTACTGGTTGAATGAAAAACTTTTAAATGAGTGATAAAACTCATATCTGTGATTAATTCCAGTTGTCTCTTTAGCTCTAATGTGTTTCCAATCCATTCTACTATATTCACTCTAAGAGGGAGTAAACTCTTACTACCATTTATTGGGTATTCCATATATAATCTCTTACCTTGCTCTCCAGTTGTTCCCAGCTCTTTTATCTTTGCTCCTCCCTACCCCTTCAATATGCCAACTAGATTGTAAATTCCCACATAAGACTTTTCAAATCCATCCCCTTTTAGCATTTTCCAGGGGGCTAGACACAGAACCAGGTGTTCAAAAGTGATTGGGTTGATCGGTCCATGTATTAGGCACCAGATCCTTGGTGTGAGTCATAACGGTACAGTGCACTGCTGTGCATTATTAGTAATTGGTGATAAGCTGGAGGCAATAATCTCATCAAATTAGAGTATACCCTAACTCACTGCATATCTCAATTCAATTTATTTTTAAAAAATATCTCAGTGTCCAGGTCAACAAATCAAAATGCTAAAAATTCATGTTTTAAGGCCTACATATTATGGTAGGAAAATTTACCTACCAGTTTTATGTTTCTGCTTTGCGAACATGGGCAGTAGTCACGGTTATTTCTCCAGCAATACCATAACTTCCAAAGGGAGTATGTTTGTCACCAGATCCTGAACCTTTTTTGGCTACATCTTCTACCGGGAAAGCAACAGAAAGAAAAACTGGGCTTTGTGGCCTGGGGACATCCTGTCCACTTGTAGGAGGACTAGCATTCTGGGGGTTAGGGGGCTGTTTCTGGAATTTCTGGTCTGCAGGAACAGCAATGGGTACTTGGACTGCAGCATATCTCTTCAAGGTGTCTGACTGGGGAACAAGCGCATGACCAGGAAGAGGTTTCCAATCCTGTGCTTCCTGAACACTGGAGCCTACTAAAATAAAAGGTGGGGCACTGGTCTTCTTGCTGTCGTCCATCATCACATAAGTTGGAGAAGTAACTTTCGGTGGATGCTGCAGAAACTGTGGATCCTTAGGATTAGATAAATAGAGGGTTGCTTGGGGGAAAGGCCCCGGTGCAGGTGGCGGTGATGGGCGACTTTGTTGATTCATATCAGTTAGACAATAAAGGGTCCACATGTTAGAATATGGTGGTGGTTGTCCTGCTTCGCTTGTTGCTATTGCTATAAAAAAAAAAAAAATTTGCAGGCATTAGAGGTTTGGTCTCTGTATCAGGCGCTATGCACAGAAATGTCTTTATAAATTTCGTTTACATATAAATAAACAGCTGTAGTAAATATGTGCCATAAAGCATGCTATAGAGAGGGCTAAGTAAATTGTGTTTGGTAATGTGAAAGGAGAGATTCTCTACAGTTGGGAAATGAGAACAGTGCTGTGAGGCAAGGCAGGGACACTAGAGTTGTGGCTGAAGAAGCAATCTCATTCTAAGTTGCTGTTTCTAGGTACTTAAACTTTAGACATGGCTTCTACAGGGTCCTTGAGAGGAAATGGAAAATCGACAATTTCGGCTTTACCAAAAAATTAATTGAGCGTGTTAAGCCACTGGAAAAAAGGGTTAATTCATCTGCATAGTGATTCTTTTCTTTACGAAAGAAATCCACACTAGGTATCATCTTTTGATCACATAATCAAATCTCTTTGGCCCTTCAGGTACCATTACCTCCCATTAATTTGTCACCACACAAAACCATCACATAATCTAGGACTCAGAACCCCAGAGAGCACTGCTTTTAGGCAAGGCTTGAAATCATAGGTCCGAGGCGGCAGTACAAGGCTGGTTGGTCCCATAGCGGTTCTTTAAGAAAAAAAGTTCTAGACATACCCTCCATCTACGTACACTAAGGACTCTATAATATCCAGTTTGACTTGCCTAATAAAGATAGTACTGTCTTTGAGAACTGAGTCCTAGAAGATGGGATGGCAGAGAAAAGGTCTCTGATGGAACAGATGAAGTTGGCCCACATGTGCTGGGTTCACCTGTCCTTGGTGCAGCTTATCTTCCCCCAGAAAAGATAACACTATGCACATGATTAAGCTAGTGTATTTTCAGTAGTTTCAGAAATTTTCAATTGATCCTTGAAACTAATTTAAAAATACGCACAAGCCAAGTCCTCAGATTTTTGTTAAATATCCTCTTAATGCTTGCTTGGTAATAGTTAAGCACCTGAAAACAGTGACTTGGTATGGAAATGCCGCTTAAGCCACAAGTGTGATGCCAGCCTCACACATTACACTCCCAGCACTGGCTTCTGCCTTTTCAGCTGTACAGAATCCCTGTCACACTGCCAGACAGAATTTGATCTCTAAACACCTGCTTTGGTAACATTTCTTTGTCATTCTGGCTTTAGTAAGAGTCAAAGTTCAGAGAGTTTCTGCAAAAGGGATGGGGGAAGTTGGCTCATGCCTGGCCCATCTTCCCCTAAAGGGAGACAGGCCCCTGCACTTGTCTAGGAGGGTGGGCAAACCAAATGCCGTAATTAGATCGAGATGGAGGTCAAATCATGTCTGTGTCACAGGAAAGCAGTGGCGATAGTTCAGCAGCCAAAAAAAAAGCAGCTAGATGTGGGCACTTGTGGGGGAACTGACAGAAGAAAGCCAGTCATCTTAGCTGTTCCCATCATTGCTCAAGTGCCTGACTGTTCTTTCTGCTGCTGCTACCCCGCTGCTCCCCTGTGTGACAGATCTTCATCCTGACCTGTCCCCTCTCCATCCAACAATGAAGCTGCTCCGTCAGCTGCGGGAAGCTCGCAGGCAGGAAATCAGTGCTTGACCCAGCTCCCCAAACCAGGTTGCAGAGCTCTCCTGACTCCATGTGAAAGCACAGTCAAACACACCACCATTTCTTTCACTTTTAAAAGGCCACCACCTATGTAAATGCATTGCTGTAGTTTGATTTTACATTCACAAGTGAGAAATTGGATACCAATACCCCTTAATGACAGTTTTGTAATAGGAGTATTCAGATTGCAGACCTAACTAAAGGCTCTGTTTTTCACTACATATGTTCAAAAGAATAACACAGACGTGCTAATGACCAAACTTTTAGACCTAATTTTGGTGATGTCACTTTAAAATCACTCATCTCATAAAAGTAAAATCTCAAATACAACAAAGCCTTTAAATAGGTTTGGCATTTTAAAAAACGATTGAAAGTAAGACGTCTGACCAAATCTTCAGAGAGCCTACCTAGATGGTTACCTGAAATACAAATGTCACCTGAAATGTAATATTTAACTTTGTAAGTATCTGATTTTCTTACCTGGCTTCATCAAACCTTGTTCAGGTGCTGCTTCCCATTCTGGTTCGATTTCTGGTTCAGTAAGACTTTCTGGACCAGGAGGAGGGGGGCCACTAGATGATCTTACAGATGTACCTGAGTGCACAGTTTTTGTAGCTTCCCCAGAAAGCACAGGTTTGACCCCCATCTCCTGGGATGCAGAGTTTTCCCATGACTTTTCCTGCTCAGGGACTATCGCAACGATCTCCACTTCAAGGTGCAGAGATTTTTCAGAGCCTACTACATTGGCAGAGCCCTCTGCATCCAGGGATAGTGCAGATGGACCTTTCAAAAAGGTGTCAGAGATCACAACTGTTGCTTCTCCCTCCACATATACTGAGGAATTAAGTTTTGCATCCTCCAACTGTGCAAATTTTGCAGAATCTACAGATTTTTCAGATGTGCCTGAGTCTGTCTTGAGTGTAGGTGTGGAACTAACTGGTGGTAACAGCTCATTTTCTTTAAGAGAAGCAGCTTGATCGGGTAAAGGGATGACTATTTGTCCTGGCATTAGCTCGACATAAGTAACTCCTTCAATCACAGGGTCATCTTTATAGACAGATGATATACGAATGGCTGATGTAACCTCAGTATCAGCCTGCAAAGGGACCTCAGGAGCTTGATCATGAGCAGGAGGTTCTTGTTCATCCTGCAAGGGGAGTAAGGAAGCCGTTGGTGGTTCAGCCTTATTGTCTTTAGGTTTAGAACCCAAGTCTACATGGCCAGATGTTTGGCTCACAACCTGCCTTGCTACCCCCTCATCAGAATACGCAACAGAAGCAGCTACCATGTTATCTTCAGCAGCCTCTGAGCTCAGCACCTCGTTGGAAAAAACAGGCATACTTGTTGCCACATCCACCATTAAAACGTCAGACTGATCATAATGAACAGATGAAACTTTACCTAACATCTGAGCAGCAAACTGAGCTGGGTCAGCTGGGACATAGGCAACCTCTGGTGAGACAGCTGTTGGACATGGTGATGAGGGTGGGGTAGCAGTCTTAGGAGTAGATGCCTTTGAAGGACCACTAGCTGCTTCACTTGTCACCTCAGGCTCTTGCGGGAGCTCAGCATGAACTGATGGGAACTGAGTGGTTTTGTTGCTAAACTGTGGTCCAGCTATATTGTCCTCCTCTGTGTCTGTAGATTTTTCCATCCGTGTAGGTTCTTGGGAAACTGTAGATATTTCTCCTGATTCTTTTACATATTCTGGTTTCTTCTCTTGTGTCGTTCCTTCTGACCACTTCTCAACTAAAATAACAGCCAGATGATTAATAAGTATATATTTCCCAAATGAAGAATTTTAAAGAAAGCAGCAATGGGCTGAGCATTCAAATGTCAATATATATACAAGTACAAAAGAGTTTTATTTTCCAACATCTGTGATTTAGTGTGGGTAAAGAAACTTTCCTGTCCTGTGCAATCAAAACACACCTCAGTTCATCTTAGAAATAACTGACTCCAAGTAGCACAGAGACAACTAATGATCAGATACCACATTCATCAGAGGAAAGATTCTGACTGCCTAGAAATAAGGAAGCCGAAAATCTCCATGGAAAAAGCTACCGATCCAAACTTTGGCACACAACTAAAGAAGAAGAAGAAGGAAAAAAAAGACTTCTATCTGGCTAATAAATACCTAATCTTTAGCTGGTATAACAGTAATGAAACATGCTGTTATATTAATAAAGGCATTCCTCAATTTAAGGAAATTGGTATATAAAGTCTTAATGAATTGGAAAACTAGAGGACTAGAGGGTATTTTTACATTAGCACATGTCATATATTCCAACCTAAAATGGTAGCAAGGTGTGATAATGCAGCCTACTGGTCCTACTGTACCAGCCAAGAGGAGCAGAAAAAGAGATCTCTGGATCCAAAAGTAGGGTCTGAGTGAATGAATCCTCAAGCATGAGGAAAGTCTTTGGACAGCCTGGGAGGTTCAAGCCAGCTGGTGACATTTAGAAACTCCTAGAGCTAGAAAAATCACTTTCTGCTTGTCACCCACACATTTGTGTAACCACCTTGGTGGTTCCTCATCTAACGTTTTCATACCTGCTTGCTTTACTGAGGATTTTCTCTCAGGGAAGCATCTCCCTAATGTAATGAAATCTGCAGGAAAAGTAGAATTTGCTTTACAATAATGTGTTTGCTTCAAGTCAAAACTTTCAGGACGTTTTCATAGGTTCGGGTGCTTCCTAAAGAACAGAGTTTTACAGTGGCTCCTTCCACAGCTGCTAATTTCTTGTAAACTCAAGTCAGTTGTCAAGTTCTGGACATGGATTAACACACCAAAAATGTGCAGGAAAGAAAAAAAGCTACATCCACTCTTGCCTCCCTCTGCTTAGAACAATACCTCATTTTTCTAACCATTCTCCGTTTCGGGACTTCCCCACGCACAAAGTCCTTTATCCACTAATGCACTTGACTGGGTGCTTGTGCTGTGTGTAAGCCACTGTACTAGGTCACTGTTGAGGATATAAACATTAAGATGAAATCTCATAAAGCTAATGTTCAGTAGGGGAGATAAGGTAGGTAATAGAAATAGAGGTTAAAAAAAAAGTATTAAGTACCTAATAAATTGTCTTATTAAAGATCTATGGACATTCAGAGGAACGAAATAATCTGGCTGGAGGAAACTTTATTTAAATAAGTCTGGCCTTACACTTAAGGTACAGAACGCTGCAAAACTATTGCAATTATAACAAGGGAAAGCCAAATCACAAAATATGTTGACAGTGGTGGGTGTAGTAACTAAAATATGTATGGGATACAATGGCTTTATTTTGTTACTCTTTGAAAAAGAGAAGGGACAGGTGTGGAAGGGGCCCCTCACAATTGCCCCATCCAGGATGCCAGAGAGCCCCCTGTGGAAAAATACAGGTCAAAACCAGCCCTGTCCATTCCGACTTCCTTTATTAGAAACTTTACCAGACTCCCTTGTCCAGTGAGACAGAGTGGAAGTCTCAGGCTTCTCAGAAAGAGTTTCCTTTCTTAATGAAGGGAACGAGTGTCACTGGTGCCACTTTCTCTTCCTTCCTGACTTAAATGTGGACACAGTGCCTAGCTCAGTGGCATGAGGGGCCAAGTAAAATACGCTAAGAATGACAGCCTAGATAATTGGTGCTTTTTTATTATAACATTGGCAGCAGAATGAACACCACTTCCAGATACCTTGTTTTCTAAGTCATAGTTAATTGGTTTTCTGTTACTTGCAGCTGAACACTTCCCTGATACATGGCATAATTAGAAGCAGTAAAGAAACATGAAAGGGGGGTTATGGTACATGCCGCTTTTTAAATACTATGTCTGTTTTTATTTGGTGAATTCAGTAATATACATTTTCTCATTGGGCATTTGTTGAATTCATTATTTGAAGATTAGATAATACATTGTACTTTTTTAAACTTACTGTCTAGAAAAATTTGTGCTATGTCCCATACACCCTCTCTGTGGTATAAGGCTGGTTTTCAAGACGATGCTTTTGAATTTCCTACATCAGAATCATGTTCGGTGAATAGTTTTACTTCTTCCTTCCCAATATGTACACTTTTTTTCTCTTTTGTTTCTGTTTGCCTTATTGTACTGACTAGAATCTACAGTGCACTGTTGAACGGAAAGTTGATATTAGATATCTCTGTCCTGGTTCCAATCTGAGGGGAAAGTATTCAGTATTCACCACTAAGTATGTTAGCTATAAGGTTTTTTATGCATACACATTATTAGATTTAGGAAGTTCCATTTTATTCCTTGTTTGCTTATAAACGTCTTTAAAGGTATTTCTTGTAAAGCAGGTCTGATGAGAATGGATTCTCTTAGCATGTCTGTCAGAGAATGTCTATTTTGCTTTCATTTTTTAAAGACTATAATTACTAGGTATATTCTAGGTTGGCAGGTTTTGCTTTCGGTACTTTAGAGATGTCATTCCATTATCTTTTGGCTGTTATGGTTTTGTTAAGAAATCAGGTATTTGTCTTATTATTCTCCTAAAAGTAATATGCCTTTTTATCTTGCCTGTTTTCATGATTTTGTCTTTATCTTTTTCAGCAATTTGACCATGATGTATCAAAGTGTGGTTTTCTTTATATTTATCCTACTGTGGGTTCACCAAACTTTTGATACCTTTCAATTAGACTGGGCCAATTCTAAGCCATTATTTTTTCAAAAAATACTTTCCCATTTATTCTCTATTCTCCTCATGTAACTCCTCCAATTACACATTAGTCCTTTTGATCATGTCCCATGTATGTCTCTTACACTGTCATGTTGTTTTTCTCTTTACTTCAATTTGGATATTTTCTATTGCCCTATTTTTTAGTTTTCTAATTGTCTTCTGCTAGTGATGCCATCCAATAAGTTTTTAGTTAGCTGTTATGGAATGACCATTTAGTTCTTATTTTTAGATTCTATCTCTGTTGAAGTTCTTTGTCTTTTTCATCCATTTTTCCATCTTTTCAAAACATATTAATCATAGTTATTTTCAGTTGTCATGTAGTAATTATAATATTTGGACCTTCTTTGGGTCTGCTTCTAATGAGTATGCTTTATTTCTTGATTATTAGTCACTTCCTTCTACTTCTTTGAATGTATAGTAATTTTTAATTGTATGCTGGAAATTACAAATGACATACTGTATAGGTTCTGATTTGGTGTTGCTCTTGCTTTAATAATGGTAAATCTCATCCTTCTGAAACATGGTTTTAGATTTTGTTAAAGTGGTTATTTCATCTTTGTTCTTCTAGCACACTTTGTTCCTAGGGTATGACCTTCCTGGGTTCTCAACTGAATTGCCAAGTTTTCTTAAGTCTTTATTTTGGCTGGGCCCAAACTCCAAAGCCTCCCCAACAGCATACCACTTCTGAAATCCCTGCTTAGCTTTTAATCTCCCAATAGCTCTTCTCTGCTAAGCCTCCTCAAGCCTTACTCCACATGAACAGCTTAGGAGTAGGCCAAAAAGAAATATTTTTGCAATTTTGGGGGATCCCTCTTTGCAAATGCCTCATCTGTGGTACTTTGTTGCCCAAAATCCAACCATATGAGTAGCCCTGCAGAAACTCTGCTTCTATTTCCTCTTCCCAGAGAAACTTCCACTCTCTGCTTGGACTCTATTTCCCTGCACAAGAATTTGAAAAATGCCACCAGAGTGAATGTAGGGCTCAATTTCTATGACTCTCTTCTCCTAAGAATCCAGGCACAGGACTTTATTTAATATAATTTCTCCAGGTTTTATGATTGTTTATGATAGGAGGGTAAGTCCAATATTAATTACTCCATTATAGCTGAAACTGAAATCTT